TGGAGTAATGATGCTGAAAATTCAGCTTTGCATCACAGGAATAAATTAGATTTTAATGTATATTAAAATAGAAAAACGCTATTTTACATCATAATAATATTTCACAATATTACATTTTTTCCTGTATTTTTGATCAAATAAATACAGCCTTGATGAGCAGAAGAAACTCCTGTAAAACACATTAAAATTGTTCTGATCCCAAACTTTTGACCGGGTGTGTGTGTCTGTGTGTGTGTGTGTGTGTGTGTGTGTGTGTGTATGTATATATATATATATAGTTTAGGTGCAAAATTTTATTTTATATATTTTTTTACCTATTGTCATTATTGATTTTTATCGATTAAATGAACAAGATGTAGAGGTATAGATAATATATTTGCTATTTTTTATTTGATTTATTATATTATTTTTTTATTTTAGTTTGTTTGTTGAACACAAAGACATTTCGAAGAAACCATGATTACTAAGCTCCAAAGGGACAAAAAAGCACCAGAAAAATATTTCTAAATATAGTATATTCTAAATTTCACTCATAAAGTGTGATGCTGATAACTTTTTTTTGTTACACAATTTCTAACAAATATGTAACAAAGTAAGCATTTAATTATTTTATTTAACATATCACTGAATATATTTTCCTCTAGTGCTCTCAGACTTTTGAAGCCCGCTGTATTTTTACCGAAATTATGATAAATGTCTTAAATGGTTGATGCTTGAATATTTAGGTAAATGGTGAGGAATTATCTTATTTATATGTTATTATTTGCATAGAACTGTGTATTATTTGACTTATTTATGGCACATTGTAGTAATTCTCTATATTTTGGATGTTTTTGTTTGACAGGGTTTTCCAGAGTCTTGTGAGGATGAAATCGTAAGCGTTCCTGATGCCAAATACACAAAGGGCGAGTTTGAGGTGATGCACTTCTGCATTATGACCTTTCTTTTCAATCTAACCTACTTTTTATTTTTTTATTTCATGTTTTGTTGGATGACAAATACGGAAAATATCTAAAAAAAAAAAAAAATAAAAAAAAAAAGTTTAATTTATAAACAAGATGTACACAATATACACTACAATTCAAAAGTTTTTGAACAGTAAGATTTTTAATGTTTTTTAAAGAACTCTCTTCTGCTCACCAAGCCTGCATTTATTTGATCCAAAATACAGCAAAAGCAGTAATATTGTGAAATATTTTTACTATTTAAAATAACGGCTTTCTATGTGAATATCTGTTAAACTGTAATTTATTTCTGTGATCAAAGCTGAATTTTCAGCATCATTACTGCAGTCTTCAGTGTCACATGATCTTCAGAAATCATTCTAATATGCTGATTTGCTGTTCAAGAAACATTTTATTATTATATTATTATTATCAATATTTAAAACACTTGAGTACATTTTTTCAGGATTCTTTGATGAAAGATCAGCATTCATCTATCATCATAAAAAGCTTTTGTAACATTGTACACTCTACCATTCAAAAGCTTGGAGTCAGTTTTTTTTTTGAGGGGGGGGGTTATATAAATTAATACTTTTATTTAGCAAGGATCCTTTAAATTGATCAAAAGTGATGATAAAGACATTTATAATGTTACAAAAGATTTCTATTTCAGATAAATGTTGCTTTGAAATCACAGGAATAAATTACATTTTAACTTATATTCAAATAGAAAGTTATTTTAAATAGTAAAAATATTTCAAAATTTTACTGTTTTTGCTGTACTTTGGATCAAATAAATGCAGGCTTGGTGATCAGAAGAGACTTCTTTAAAAAAAAAACATTCAAAATATTAAGGTTCAAAAACTTTTGACTGGTAGTGTATATGTATTTAAAATATAATATATTTAATACACCAATTTAATATAAAAATTATGAAAAAGTTGTTTGAATCAATGATTCAACGACTCACTCATAACCCTACTGGATGAATCAGCGTTTTTGAACGATTCTCTTGAATAAATTATTCATTCAATTATAAATTTTTTAAGTCACTTTTCGCCACCTAGTGGCGAAACAATGCAATCGACATTCAAAAGCGGATTTGCTCTATTTTGGTCGCGCTACCATAGACATCAGTGTTTATATCTGGATTATAAACTTTCATCCCAGTATTTCTGTGATAATATGAATGACTGTACGACAGAAATAATACTGTGTAGTTGAAAAGACTGTTTGTGAAGCTGTTTCTTAACCAAACATGGTAACTGCTCTCTGTGTGTCAGCGGCAGTGCGAACGCAGATTTGAATGATCCAGTAAGACTTTGTCAAAGGTTTAACAGACACGGGAGAATCGTTGTCATTTAGAAATGAGATCGTGTGGTTGTCTGAATCGATATCGCGATCTTTTAACGATTAATCGTGCAGCTCTAGTGGCTACTTTTGATTTATTCGTCCAAAATTGACGAATTCCGTGGCATTCCGCGCTATAGAGTAAATTACGTTTTTATGAATGGACTCCGCGATCCCGTCCGCGTTTTCGCAGAAACCATATGGCCCTTGAAATGTAACCACACTTCACAACATTTCGGCTCGCCCTGTGTGTTTGAACGAGTTGCAGGGGTGACCTCACGTCACAGGGTCTCTCTCTTTCTCTCTGTAGCGTATGCGCCCAGATGCGTTCTCAGCTACCGAAATTTGGCACAGATTGATTTAATGTGAATCGGTACTCGGTCGTACCGACACAATTCGGTCGGTACCCTTAAAAGTACCGAGTTCGGTACCCAACCCTAGCTCTCGTGGAACACCAGTTGTTTTGCTACATTAATAACACGTGTATATGTATTTACACTATGTTGTGTGTGTTGTAGGTGGTGATGAAGTTGGTCCGCTTGCTTCCTGACGGTCACCGGATGAAGCGGCAGGTTGATCTGGCGTTAGACTCCGTCAGCGAGACCATGACACCGCTGCACTATCACCTGCGGGAAATCATCATCTGCTCCTACAGACAGGTAGAGGGCGCTCTGTCATCTCATGCACTGATAGATTGTGTCCTTGTGTGTCACTTGTCTGATGCATATGCTGCACAAAACGCCAAGAGCTTTTTAAAACAAACTGCTTCAGTCTGATTGCTGGTTTGCAATTGTGTTTACTGGCTTGATACTGTGACTGCAGAGGAAGAAATAGTTGCTGTAGGTTTGAGAGGTTCATGACATCAAATCATTTGAGTTTGTTTTAAGATTTTTTTATTTACTTTTTTTTTATTACTAATTTTCTAATAAATATGTATTTAATCTAAAATCTTTTTTATTTTAAATGATATTTTTTGATATAAATATGTAATGTAATATTTATTCATTAATAGTTGTTTCACATATAACAAAATACTTTTTTAATAAAATTGTATTTTATTCTAAGTATATGCTCTTTTATTTTGTATGTTCTATTATTTATTTTCTAATACTTATTGATTTATTTAAAATAAAACAATACTTTATTTTATTCTTAATATATATTGTACATTACATTTTTTATTTTCTATTTATTTTCTAATTTATTTATTTAAGTTTTATTTTATTTTAAATACAATAAAACAAAATACTACATTTATTTTATTCTAAGTATGCATATTTATTTATTTATTCATTTAAATGAAAAGAAAACATTGCTTAATGTGATTTTATTCTAAATATATGCTCTAAAATTTATTTTATTTTATTTTATTTTATGCATTGAAGCAGTAAAGGAGAAGCATGATGAAGTGCTCATCAAACATGTTCCTCCTTCCCTAGTGTTTTAAATCACCTCATTTTCAATAATGATTTGTTTGGCAGCTTTGTGTGTTTTATCTACATCTGTATTCTTGTGTCGTCTCTGAGTGTCCAGTAGATGGCAGCACGTTTCCTCGTTACATTTCCACAACTGCTCCATAATCAGACGCTAATCAACTTCAGCCTCTATTCATACAAGCAGCACAAATGTCAAGAGTCTCCTTGATTTCATCAGAAGGATTCTGGGAAAACCCTCTAGTGTTTGTTTGACGTTTCCTCGTGCATTAAGATCTGCAGTGGGCTGTGAAAGCCTAACGACTGACAGACGCTGTGCCGTGAGCGAGGGGTGTGTGTAATTGTGTTTGTGGGTCATGACGGTCCCGGGCGTCAGTGTCGCTCTTATGTAAAGCTCAGAGGGGCGGGTTTGTGCAGCGAGAGCCGCTCTCAATGGATCACATTGTCCCGAGCCGCTGTTTTTTCCCTCTGCGTTCAGTCATTACAGTACTGGAGCCCGTCTCAGATTAGTGTTTCCCGTGTGGAAAGCGAACACTGATTCTTCTGTTTCTTGTCTCTTTGTTGCTTTAGATAAGCGCTGCTGACGGAGAACGATTTGTAATTGAAATGATCACAGGATGTTTTTGTGTACAAATGACTGTGTGATGCTGGAAGCGTCTCTGAGAGAGATTGACTTGTTTGAGACCCTTAAAGGGACAGTTCACCTAAAAATTACAATTCTGTCATCATTTGCTCATCCTCGAGCTGTTTGAGCTTCTTACATGTGTGGAGCATAAAAGACGATGTTTTGAAGAATGTTAGTGACCAGGGCTGCGTTTCCCAAAAGCATCGTAAGCCTAAGTTGATCGTAGCTCCATTGGTTTCATTACCATGCTTTTGGGAAACAGCCCAGACCAGTTGCTGGCAGACATTGACTTCCATAGTAGGTTAAAAAAAATACTATGGAATTCAATGGCTACCGTCAGCTGTTTGGTTTCAAACATTCTTCAAAATACCTTAAGAAGAAATTCATACAGGTTTGAAACTTAAAGGTGAGTAAATGATGACAGTAAATGATACATTTTTGGGTGAACTGTCCCTTTAAGCATATGCTTCTGTTATGAATTTCCATATTTTCCGGAATATAACTATATAAATAGTTATATTTATATAACTATAATTTTTTAATCATCTTATATGTGCTAAACTTAAACTTATGTTCCAAAGCGATTTATATAGTGCAATTAACGTTGTGCACACAAAACGTGGATTTGTGCCGAGTGAGCGAGTTTACTTGAGCCTAAGATCATTTGTATAGAGCATTTTCAACACACTTTGCTTTAAATAAATTAGTTTAGGCTTGATATTTATAATAAATATTGTTTTATACTTAACATTTATCTTTCTAATTCTGTTCTAAATACTGCATTTGCTGTGCAGTGAGAGGAACTATGTTTACAATGTTTATAAAGTTTGTAAACATTTTATTTTATTTACTGGTATTTTACATTATTTCTGAATTGAATAATAAAATGCATCTTATACGCCAATGCAACTTACATTTTTTTTTCTCTTAACAATGCAATTTTGGCCCGGTGTGACTTATTTTCTGGATAATATTGTATATCTGTGAAATAATCTGTGCTAAATGATCCGAAATTCTGATTTGAATATCGACAGACATTTTTCACTTTTTCTATTATTCTGATATCAAACCATAGAAATGTCAATATTTTGGCACTCTCTTGACAGTAAAACTGTTGTTGGTCTGCAGTATTTTTTATTTTTTAAAGCCGTCATGAAATGAAAATCTATTTTCTAAATGTTTGTTACAGATCTTATTGTGAAGATCTTTATGCATGCATATGTATCTTTTGTTGTCATTTTTTTTTGACTTTGTAATGCTTAATCAAATTTCATTTTCATAATCCATTACACTCAGATATGCTATATCATAATATGGATGAAAAGATCTGTCTTTACTTCTGTTTCATCATGACTTTAACATCATGAGACAACACCTTTTAATCAGGACAAACTTAGAAATACTTCTTTTGGACCTAGGAAATCTTTTATAGTGTTTTCATGCTGTGCTGAATTTGATCAAATGTTTGATTATTTTCTGTAATAATTAATTAATAATTCAACTTTTTCAGAACCCGCCCCTAAATTGCACATAAATACAATCAAACTGTCACTGGTTGCTTTATAAGTCAATCACTGGACAGTTTTTGGTCAAAAAAGGTAGTTAGGTCTGGCTTCATGAGTTTATGGGTTTAATATTAATTTGTCAATACGTGAAGGTATTCATCTGTTTCTAAATATGTTTGTTTGTATTTGGCACTGTTTTTGCCTTGTTTTCTGGCTGCCGTTGATCATCTGATCACGTTTTGCATCACACTGTTTCCATGGCAACCGCATCCCACTCTGGACCACTGACATTAGGTTCAGTTCTTGTGCGGTTTGCAAACTTTCAGACAGCTTTGATACACACAAGCCTCATAATTTTAGTTCATATCACTTCTGTCTGTACAACACGCGTCTGATGGATTATCTGAAAGTGCTTCCTTTGCACTATTTATTTTAATTGAAAGACTGTTTTGTTCTGCGCATATTGCTCTAGTCAGACTGATTCTGGTTTCAGGTTCCCATCCGATGCTGAAACCAAATCATATAGTGAGTCGAAGCCGAAAAACCCAATGAAATATTCCAGTAAAAGTGGAGGAAATGTAAATCTGTGCCTAAAGAAAGGCCCTCATGGTTTGGAAGGCAGTGTGGAAAAATATTTGCAGAAGGAAGAGAATGTAGAGAGTAGTGACGTCACGAGAGAGAGGGATGGAGCCGATCCAGATGGCGGGAATTTAGGAGAGACCGCCGCACAAAAAGATCCTGATGGAAAACGTGTGCGTGTTGAGGGACGGCAACCAAAATCATTCGACCAGAACAATTCGAGCCGTCCGTCTGAGCGCACATGTGCCGAGCCAGATTAAAGCTGTGAACAGCTCGGTTTTGCTTTGTGCTGATATCTGACATGCTTTGAATCTTGTTGCATGTGTGTAGAGAGCTAAAATGCCAAAACCTGAGCGTGCAATTAAAAAGAGTTATTTTTGGAATTTAGAAGTCATGGTTAATCTCCATAAATAAATTACAAGACATTTCTGTAGCAGTGATATAAATGTATTTTCTTAGTTCTGGAAAAGGCATGGAAATTTAATGGACGATTTGGAAACCCTCATACAGTAGATGAGATTTTAAAAGCGCTGTAAGCACTAGAAGATCATAAAAACACGGAATCCTAGAAATCCAACAATATTTTTAGGACTAAATCCAAACATATTTGACTTCTGATCATCTGATGTACACTGAAACACTCGTATCTGATTACTACGTGAGCAATTTCATTGTGAGTACTACAAAGTCTTTTTTGTCAAAAATTATATATACATATTATTAAAAAAGTAAATATATGTATATGCACGGGCGACATTTAACTCTTGAGTCGGGGGGCAAGAAAAAAGTACAGTCATTGGAAGTACAGTATGCATCAAAAATGCTCTACCACGCATCAAAGCAGTCAATACAGCTATAATAAATGAAAAACTTTAAGTCAAAGTACTAAAATGACTAACGCTAAAACTGAAATAAAAATAAATGAAAGCTAAATAGAAAAAAATAAGAATAGAAATTAGTTACTAAAATTAAAATTCAAGTAAAAATTGAAAATATAAAAATATAAGCTATTCAAATTAAAAATGTGAATAAATGCTATAATAGTATATAAATAATATTAATATTAATAAAAAATATGAATGTTAATATTATAAATATTATTTAAACAACACTGTATATGAATAGAAAGCACTATTTAAATAATAACAATTTGTAATTTAATTTACAAATTATAATTTTAATTTAATTATTAACTTGATAATAATCACATTTTAAGCATCTTTTGAAATAGTAAACTGATTTTATTTAAAATTTTCCTTAAGTTAATTTGTGATAGTGATAGAAAAAAATTAATTAATATGATTTGCATCTTCAGAAGTTGTGAATGTAATGGTTTTATGCCACATATTCAGACGTGCATAATTCAAGTAATTTTTTACATTATTTTTCTTCCTCCTTTCATTTTCATCTTCTTAATAATAATAATAAATATAATGATGTTAAATTATGGTAATAATTTATGATAAAAATGTAATAATAAAAATATAATTTTATGTTATTACATTTTATTGTATTCTAATAATTTAATTGAAATTAACAACAACAGTAATAATAATAAATTA